GCCAGTGAAGCAACGTCCTCCACAACTAGACTGAAGAACAAAAGGACAGCAACTTGTCTGTTCCCCTTCCCCCAATTCCCCAGCACTGTTCCCATCCCAATTCCCCAATAAAAATCTTTTAAAAAAAAAGAAAAATTAAAAGCTTGTTTTCACTGCTTTTCATACTGAATATTGATCCCCATCTGCCTGTTGCACTTAATGTATATTTCCACTCAGACCAGCCACGTATTACATGTTCAGTAGCCACACGTGGCCAGTGGCTGCTGCCCTGGACGGCACAGGTCTAGGGTGTGACCTTGGAAATGAGTGGCTGGGGTTTTAGAGGAAAGGCCACGGAATTTTAGCTTAAGGTGACAATGATGATGATGGTTATAGGTTGAGTTGTGTCCCCCAAAATACATATGGAAGTCCTAACCCCCGGCACCTAAGTGGGACCCTGTATGACAGGATCTTTGCAGATGTAATCGAGTTAAGAGGACGTCACTATGGTGGCCTGAATCCAATATGCCTGGTGTCCTTATAAAAAGAGTCAGACACACAAGGAAGGAACGATGTGACGATGGGGGCAGAGACTAGAGTGACGCGGCTACAAGCCGGGAACCCCAAGGACTGCGGGCTACCACCAGAAGCTGGAGAGGCAGGAAGCACCCTCCCCTGGGGCCTTCAGAGAGAGGACGGCCCTGCCGACACCTTGGTCTCAGATTTCTGGCCTCCAGTCTATGAAACAACACACTTCCCTTGTTTTACGCCACCCAGCCTGTGGTACCTTGTCATGAGCCCCAGGACGCTAGTACAGAGATCTAAAGCAAGCCGATCTGACACAAATTTAACCCAGCGCACCCTCTGGGCAGCACCTGCTTGCTGGCTCCCCAGGCTCTGCGCAGCCCCTGAAGCGTGGGCCCAGAGCAGCAGTTGGCTTGCTCGGCAGTGGGGGTGAGAAACACGGGGCAACACTGGTACTTCGTACACTCCTGGGGCAGCTCGGACAGACACTTGGCCTCTCCTGCATCTCAGAGACATGAGTCAGGTGGGAGCAAAGGCCGGCGTGACGGCACAGCACGTGGCACGAGAGATCTGAGGGGTGAGGAGGCCGGGGGCCGACAGGGCGTTCCAGGGCCTGCATTTGGGCACAAGCCTAGGCCCCGCTCCAGACCCTGGGGGGTGGGGGAAGGCTGTGCCCAGCGAGCAGGAGGGGTCTCAGCATGACCAAACCTGAAGCCTGGGACATAGAAAGGAACACGCCACCATCGGATGGCGCCCATCCCAGCCAGGAGGTCCCTGTCAACCCTGAAAAATAAAACCCTGTCTGGAGAAAAGTCACATCATCCCAGGCCTCTCTCGACTCCCCAGAAGTTAAACAATAAGCGGTCCAGCTAACAACCAAAAACAAGACGCTCAGTGGGGCAGAAACATGCAGTGAGGCAGAGATGGGACGAGCAGAAACGGCAAGTGCCCAGTTTCCCCAACCGGAATCGCCCGACGTGGGACAGAAAGCACTGTGTTCATGGATAGAAGTGCTGACCTGACACTTTAGCAGGCAACTGGAAACCATAAAAAAAGGACGCTGCTAATTGGAAAAAGAATCCAGTAAAAAGTAGAGAACTGAAAACAAAATGATGATGGAAATGATGAACTCAGCACCAGGTGTAATAAGGGACTGGGTGCAGCTGAAGAGACAGTAAGTGGAGCAGGATAAGGCGCGGGCGGGACACGGGAGAGAGGAGAAGGCAGAGGGGCCAGCAGGAAGGACCGGCCGACATCCACGGGGGTCGGGGGCCAGAAGCCGCAGACACAGGCTGAGAGCCTCCCACAGCTGACGCGCCCACGGCTGCTGTCCACGGCCCCAGCTCATTCTGCGGACCTCCCTACGCTTTAGTCCGGGTCTCATACACCTGAGCGCCCCGTTCACCTGCGCCCCTCAGCCCAGCTCACTCTCCTGCTGCCAGCGACCCCAGGGGCTGGAGCGGAGGGGCTCCTTTAGACCCAAAGTGCTTAGTAAGGCCAGGAGGCTGGAGAGATGCCGTAGGAGGCCGGGCCCGGGCCGGCTTTCCCCGCTCTGCATGCCCTGGAGTTTCCCAGCAGACACTGGGCTGCACGGTCAGGTCTGCACACACTTCTGGGTGGGGCAGGAGCACTCATCTGAGTCCTGTTCACAACGCTGGGAAATAGATGTTTCCCACCAAGGGGTAGGGAGAGACCTTCCTTCCTTCTCTTGGGCTCCTGCCCCCCACCTCTGCCTTCCGGAAAGGGCCTCCTGAGGAGTGCTGGGGCCTGCACCACACTCACCTGTGTGCAGCTGCAGCCTGTCCGAGTCCTGACTGGGGCGCGACGAGCAGTGGATGGATGCCGCCGGCACGGAGGGCAGGCACCTGACCTGCAGGCCCAGGAAGAAGGCCTCCGTGCAGCTCTGCAGGGAGGCCAGCAGGGCGCTGCCCACCAGCCCCTCACTCAGATCTGGGGGCAGAGCAGCACCGTCAGCCCCGCCTAACCCGCCTTCTCCCCAGAGTCCCCCAGGGTGTCCAGCACCTCCAGGGATCCCCTGCTGGACCCGCCTTCTCCCCAAAGACCCCCAGGATGTCCAGGGATTCCCCCACTGGACCTGCCTTCTCCCCAGAGACTCCCAGGGTGCCCAGCACCCCCAGGGATCCCCCACTGGACCTGCCTTCTCCCAAGAGACCCCTAGGATGTCCAGGGATCCCCCACTGGACCCACCTTCTCCCCAGAGACCCCCAGGGTGCCCAGCACCCCCAGGATCCCTCCTCACCCCAGCACCAGCTTCTAGGCCAACAAGGTTGACACAGACCTGCCTTTAGAGTGAGAGTCAGGCACAGAAATGAGACATTAAAACACATCATTTTTAAAGGGCAAAAAGAAAAAGGAGGAAAATGGAAGAAAGGCCAATGCCCAGGTAAAAGACCAGTAATCACAGTTGCAGCTGGACAGGAGGACCCCAATCCCAAGCGCGCCAGCACTGTATTTCAGGCCCCACCTGGGGCCCAGGTGGACACCCCTTATGCTCAGTTCAGGCCCTTGTCTCCACAGTGGGGTCCTGATGGCTCCAGGACACCCCCTCCAGCTCTTCACCCAGTTGCAGGCTTTGTGGGGTATGCCCCCCAGCCCTCTGGGATGCGGGGTACATGCCCCCCCAACCCTGGTACCGATCGGCTGTAGGTAGATATACTTCCGCGTGGGGCCCCGCCTCCTGGTCAGCAGGGCCGCGTGGAAGGTCTCAAAGTCCTCGGGGGCCTCGGGACGGCTGAGGAGCCAGTCGAAGGCCGTGTGGATGAGCAGGGTGCAAAACAGGGTCCTCTGGGGCCTGTAGGCCTCGGCCAGGAAGAGCCTCTCGGCCGGGGAGAAGGCAGACGCATAGAGCTGCTGCAGCGCTGGGTCCGTGGACACCAGGGCATCCTTGAGGGCCCGGGGGCCGAGGCTGAACTCCTGGGCTGGCCGGCACTGCAGCATGGTGGGCCTGGCCCCTCGGGGAGCCCCTGCTGCTGCCCATGAACCTCCAGGGGACAGGGACGGCCACGGTCTCTAGAGCCTTCCTGAGGGCTGACTGGAACGACTGCCAAGGGCTCCCTGCAGATGGACACGGAGCCGGCTCTGCCTGGTGTTGGGCCTTCTCAGCAACAGCGAGGGGTGGCGTGGACACCTCCCGCCTGTCGGCGCCCTGAGGGGGACACGTATGCTGAGCACACGGCCTCATGGGGGACAGACGCTATCCGAGGAACCCGGGCCCCCCGGACACTGCACTGCCCCCCAGCAGGGCCACAGGATGCTGCTTTCTCTCCTCCCACTCTGGCAGGCTGGGACCTTCACCAGGATTTAGTATGGGAAGGGTCCCCTCCGCACACAGCAGGCCACAAGCCCTGTGGGAACCCCACAGAGGGTCCCATGGGTCTGGTGAGAACAGCAGCCCCAACGCCCACTGCCCACCCCAACTATGTCCGAGCCCCAGCAGGAGGACCACCCACCGGAGGGGCCCCTTTGGGCAGGACACTGGGCGCTGCAGCCCCTCTGTGATCCCCAAGTGCATCCATCACCCGCGGCCCCCAGCACTTTGGATCCCAGCCACAGGCTTTCCTGGCAGGGGCCCCTGTGCCCAAGGGAGGCAGCCACGATCCCCAAGTCCACGTGGCCAGGCTGGCCGGCCAGGCAAGCGTATATGGGGAGAAGGCAGCCCCCACGGTGCCGAGACCCAGAAGTTTCCTGGGCACACACTAGGGGCAGGCACACGTGCCAACGATGGAACGCTGTAAATGGAGTGATACGGCAAAGCAAGAAGGAGCCCTTGAACTGCTGGGATAGACCGGGCAGGAGAGCAGCTGCCGGGGAGGCACAGATGGGCTGGGAGGGTGGTGACAAAGCCACCTTACAAACTGGAATTCTCCTGCTGAACTGGCAGCGGGGCCTGACATCGTGTGTGGGCCAGAAACACCCTGAAATCCTACCAGTGAATGTCTGGCTCTGGTCACAGAGCCTGCTGTGGGCTCTGTGCTATGTCTCGGTCCAAAGACATGTGATCAGCAGGGGGTCCTGGCGGGGTGGGGGGATTCTCAAGGGACAGAGAAAGAGGGATGAGGAGAGAACAAGCCGGAAGCCAGAGAAAAGAGAATGCACAAATAGCAGTGCAGAGAGAAGGCAGGAACAGTGTGTGGCTGGTTCTTGATTTAGAAAATCAAGCCAGATATGCAAAACCTCTCTGCAGAGTACAGAGCGTGAGGCCTCCCAGCGGAGCGGGAAAGCAGGACTGGGCCTTGTTTTGTGAGAAGGGAGAAAACAGCCGTACTCCCTTAGCTGACCCCAATTTAAAGCGTTCATCCGGAAAATAAATTTATATGTACATATGCATATATGTGCATCCATGTGTATATGTATATGTAAATATATACACATAGGTACATACAGAGCGGGAGATGTGTATATAATTCATCAACTTTCCTCTGGAAAATTATATAATAGCTATAACTTTTTGCAGAGGACATTATATACATAGATAAGCATATAAGAGCTGGCTTCAATGAGGGGCTTCATCCCAACACAGAGAGCTATGTTTTTCTTTCTGCAATATATCTTACAAATTTAAGATCCAGTTACATGTGCAATCTTACATCCTTTTGACTTAGTACATTACGAGCATTTTCCGAAATCCTTAAACACTCTATTAAAAAAATGCCATTTTTAACAGCTTCCCCAAAACACCGTGATGAAAAGCTTGGTACACAAGCCTGTGTTTCCATTTCCTCGGACAGGTTCCCAGAAGAGAAGCTATTCTGTGCAGATGTTTAAGGAATCTTGATTTGTATCATCAAACTGCTTTCCAGAAAGGTCATGCCAACTTACAACCCCATCAACCCCTGAAGTTCTAAGTAGTCAACAGCAAATAAAAATAATCACCAAGAGCACTGAATTCCCACCGTATTCCAGGCGGGACTTCATGGCTCAGGAAGCCTGTCTCGTCCCGCCGGGCATCATGGGGTGTGGAGGAGGGACCCCCACCTTCCTGGCCTGGAGCACACTTGACCGAGCAGAGAGAGAGAGGAGCCCAGAGTCACCTTGAGTTCCTGACGCCACGTGCATCCCACCAGCCTATTTTTGTGTCCGGATGTAGGTCACGTGACCCCCACAAACGCTCCTGGCTCACCCGAGACTTTCCACTCAGCAACACCCTCACCACACCGAGCTGATGTGAGACGCTTTACCACCAACAGTCACCTCTAAATTTTTCCTTGATGTCATAGCCACCTAGGAACTATTATTTCTGTAACCGAGAGTAGCCTATGAATTGTGTCCTTGGACCCCAGGAAGGTCTATGTCACAGCTTTCCAAAGCAGAAGAAAACAAGACAAACCGATGTCCGCAGGCGACCTGAACCAACCCAGGCAACACCCTCCTCACATGTCCACTGTCCCGTAAACCCCAAGATGACTTTGGACCCAACACCTCATCTGAACTCACAACCAGCAAAACATAGCTACCAGTATTCGCCAATCTTATAGCCAAGAAGACTGAGGCTCAGAGAGGGAGGCCACATGCCCAGGGCTGCACACCTTGCCCGGATTCAGACACGGCTCTCCTGACTCCCAGGACAGTACCCCTCACTAGCAGGAGCTCCTCCTGCCAGCACCCACTCCCCCTTACCACCCCCAGACCCACTCAGGGGCTCCACTGCCAGCAAACACCTCTAACCCAGGCCAAACCTCGGGAAACGAGAAATGCCTTTTACCAAAAGTTCAAGGACCCTGCCACGTCCATCCCAGGTGTGACTTGGACCCAAACTGTAAACCTCAGGCTCTTCTTAGCCATTCAGAGAGGACCAAATCACATGGCATGGGAAGGGCCACAGCGGACAGCTTCTCCAGGGGCCAGAAGGCTCGTGCAGGGGAACCGGTGAAGACAGACCCTGAAGCAGGAGGACCCAAGACATGGCAGAGTCTGCAAAGGAGGCAGCCGGGACCCAGCACTGCACTTCTCCGGTCGTAGGGCCCCTTATGCTGACACCACTGAGGACCCCCAGGGGCTCCTGGTCTATGTGGATTCTATCTACCAATCAATATTCACTGTTCTGAACTTAAAACCAAGAAATGTGGGAAACACAAGAACACAGTCCTGCATCCGTCAGCATCACACCCAGCATCACATGGGAAGGGCAAATAACATCTCGGGGTACTGTGAATATGGTTTTGACTTCATGGGTCCCCTGCAGGGTCCCCGGAACACACTCGGAGAAACAGTTTCCTCTCTGAATCCTTCTCCCTGGGACAGCTGTTTGCACACCCACGAGCTCCATGGTGAGCATGTGTGTGCTTGGAACATCCACGTAGGACACCCACCCAGAGAAACCCCACAACACCCTGCCCCAGCCAGAGCCTCTGGCCACCAGCCACCTGAGAAGCTCCAAGAGCAGGGAAGAAGCAGCCACATCCACTCCCGACAGGCGTGAGCTAGTGGGTCAACAGGACACCAGCCTCCAGACCCGGCCCAAGGGTGTTTGAGCCTCTCTGTCCTTCCACGTGGGTCCTGCTCTCTCTCAGGTCCAGGACGTAGCCGTCTGTCTGCCCAGGCAGCGTTTCCTCTCAAGAAGCCCATGTGGCCTCATTCATCTTCCTGGGTCACCCCGCCTGACCCCTCTATTTTGCCAGGTCATTTCTGCACAAGACCACTCATCTCACAGAAGCTGGCTGTGTCCCAGCAGCCGGGTGCCACAGGAGGGAGCCGCAGTCAGGGCCAGGTGCTCCCCAGCCCTCTCCGCTATTCACCAACCCGTTAATCTTGGCAATAGCAGGTGCTTGGAAGGGGAACCTCCAACACCTGGCTCCCGGNAGCCCAACTCTAGGCAGACAAGCTCCAAGAGTCTGTCTTATGTGCAGCTTCTAACGCTCTTGTTGGAAATGGCTTTCCTGTCGCTAAAGAGAGCGGAAGCCACAGCCTACACCAGTGCTCAGCGACAACCCCGGGTGGCGCCTCCGCCTGTCCTGGCTTAGGGAGCTCTCTAGACTTCCCCGGCCACGGACGCCTCGCGCGACACCTCTCCGTTGCCCCCGCACACAGCGGCCCCAGTCCTCACCAGTCCTGCAGTTTCAGGACCCCCAAAGCCAGAGGCCCTGCTTGTGTGCAGCTCAGAAGGCTCAGGGTCTGGGCCAAGGTCTCCCATAGGCTACAGTCGGAACTCAGCGCGGGAGAACTGCAGAGAAGGCCCCAGAAACAGAGTTATTCCTGTCCCGCCGCCAAAGCCCACACAGCACCCAGTGGGGCTGCTGCCCTGGGGCCGGGCGTGCCCAGCAGGCACGGGATTTCCTTCCCAGGAGCGGGGCTTTCAGACCCGTGCTGTTCCCTCTACTGGAGGCCGTGCTCTTGGGGAGCCAGTGAGGTGTGGCCCCAGGTGTGACAGCTGCCCTGGGGCCTCCCAAGGGAAACTAGCACCCCCCTGCCCCCGCCCAGCCACACCCCGGGGGACCTGACCGGGCCGCGCTGAGGAGGAGGTCCACCAGCGAGTGTGCGGCGGGGACGGGGTCTTTCTTGAGCAGACAGGCCACGAGGGGACTCAGCCGCACCCAAAGGACTTGTGTCCAAGGGCCGTGGCAGTGCCCGAACATGGTGCTCAGGACGTTCAGGGCCTGCGTGACCTGAGGGGTGGCGGCGGAGTGCAGGGCCTCTTCCACGTGGCCCACGATCTGCTGGGCACAGGCCGGCCAGTCAGGAGCCTGCGGGTTGGGGTGTCCCTCAGCTTGGCCTCGCATCGACAGAACCAGGATGTGTGCCAGGAGCTGCCCGGCCGCCGAGGCCACAAACAGGCTGGCATCTCCCTGCAGGGAAAAGATGGTGCCCAGGGCACCTGGCGGGGAGGGGAGACAGAACTGGGTTCAGTGGAGACATGGCTTCAATCAGCAGACACCAGAACCCCAGGACAAGGGCTTGCATTCCGCCCTGCAGGAGGCACCGTCAGAGGCCCATGCTCAGAAGCTGGAGTTTCCCGGGTGAGCAGCGCCGTTTTCTACTGCGGCTTTAAACCCACAGAAACCTTCTATGCTTCCCAATTCCTTCCAGAGCCACCCCAGCTGCCGGGTCTCACCTGCGAGCNGTTAATCTTGGCAATAGCAGGTGCTTGGAAGGGGAACCTCCAACACCTGGCTCCCGGCTGTCCTTCGGGCTCTGCTACTGCCCGTCGCACTCCTCTGCATTTCACTGCCGGGACAGCAGTAACGAACACGCGATGCCTGCCATGCACCTGAGCGCCACTGCATCGGCTCATTCGAGCCTCACAACCTTGTGACATTTCAGGTGCAATTGCGGTCACATGGCTGGGCAGTAGCCGCCCCACATTTCAAAGCTATGCCTCACCCCGGAGCCCAAACTCTTAATGTGCTAAAGGGGTTTCAGAAGCAGAGAAGGTCCAGCTGTCAACACAGCGTGGGACGTCTCCCCCAAGAGCAGTGGTGTCTCTGCCTTATTGGCACTGGGGCCACGGCCAAACTTTTCAGCCAGCCAGCCCTTCACCTGGGCAGCCCGAATCCTCCTCGTTTAGCCTCTGTTTTGCCCAAAAGCTGGGAAAGGGCATGTCCTGGCCACTTCCTCCCCCAGGGAGGGTCTGGCAGCAGGAAGGGCAGGCTGACCGGCCAGGTGATCAAAGGTGGGCTGTCCCATCCTCGCAGCCCAGACTCTAGTTCCCCCATCTGCCTGGACAGAGGCCCAGCCTTTGGGCAAGACTGCACGCTCTGATTCTCGTCGCTCTGAGTGCGCTTTACAAAACATCCCAGCAGCTGCATCGAGCTACTCATTAGCTGTCTGCCGGAATCGTCCGGGCCCTGAGCACCCCCGCGCAGAAAGAGCTGTAAAGGGCTTGGGGTTTCACACTTCTCAGAAGCCTTCCACTTGCTAGGAGGGGGCGGAGGGCTCAGACCACAGGGCGCAGGGCGCACTCAGCCCCCTGGCTTCCTGTCGAGGCTACTCTCGCTCGCGATCACCAGCTCCACTCCTGACCCTGTTTCCTTCCCTGTCACAGAGGCAGGGAAGGACCCACGTCTGTCCTCCTCTGGGGCGCCTGCCGACACACGGAGGCTGGAGAGGAGCCCTCCAGGGGCCTCCAGGCTCCCAGGGGACACCCCTGCCCACCCAACTGGCCCAGGCCAGGAAACGCCTTCCTGCCGCCTGCCTGGGCCCACTGCCTGATGGCTCCCACCGCCACCATAGCAAACAGCGCCCAGGTTGCCCTTCCCTGGGGAGCAGATGGCCTGAGGGGTCGCTGAGCCCCTTCCGGGTTCTGGGCTTTCCTGCCCGGCCACCTCCCCTCTGAGGGGTCGGGTCCTGGAAGCCCCAACTCCGGAGCTGAGCGCAGCGCTGCACCAAGCCTTCCTCGACGCGCCTGCCGCGAGCTCCCCACCTCCCGCCCGGTGCCCCATTCGCGTCCCCGCCGCCCCCCGGGCGTCCTCCGGGCTTGCGCGACCAGACCTGCGCTGCGACGCGGCCCGGGCTTCCCTCCCGGACGCCGCCCGCCACCACAGCAGGGCGGCACCCTCTCGGNCCTGTGGGCTCAGCGAATCCTCACGGCACCCCTGAGACAGGCACGCTGCTCACCTGTCAGGGGAAGAAACCGAGGCTCAGAGGACATGAACTTGGCCAAGTCCATCCAGCGGGTAAGTGTCAGAGCAGAGTCAGCCCCAGCTCTGTCTTATTCCCCAGGGTTTGCCCCTTTGCCCTGACCTCAGTCCTGGTGAGTTTCAACTCAGGAATAGAAACCTTGTACAAGACGCGGGCGGTGACAGGGGGAACGACACGGAGACTTAAGAGGTTGTGACAGCCACCACTGCTTTATGTACCTGCAGAATAAAGCCACGCACCTCTCAGCAGGCCGCTCGGTGGGAGGGCCCAGGCTCACCTGAAGATACTGGAAGCAGTCTTCCTGGGCTGCCAATATCCCTGCGAGGCGGAGTGAGAAGGCGAGGACTGCGGAGCTCAGGTCCTGGGGTTTCAGCACCTGGAACAGCAGCTCCACCAAGCAGGGATTCTCCTGCAACAGCAGGACACTGGACCCTGGCAACGGGCCCAGCCAGGGAACGTGTCACTAGGGGCACAGCGCGACGTGTCCCCCTAAAGGACCACTCTTCTGGCAACTCCCACACACCTTTCTTTCAAGTTGTTAGATTTAGCAGTTTAACTGGGAGAAATTATTCGCAACAAAGGATTCATAACTTTAACCCAATGCGGGAACAAGCTAGAAAGCCAACACCTCGACAGCAGGTCAGGGACGTGGACAGGAACTGTAAATGGCCAACAAACACGAAAAGATGTTCTGTCTTGCTGATTATGAAAAATAAATGCAAATTCAACCACAAAACCATTTTTTGTGTAAACTGATAGTACGTGATGCAAGAAGTCCAATGGAACAGGCATTTTCGCCCAGACCCAGCATCTGAAATGTCTACACTCAACTATGCTGCTGTTCAATAGCACTGATGGGGCACAGGCTGGGCGAGCTGCCGTCGAGGGGCCCGTGCTGAGAGAACCGTGTGATTCAGTAAGAAGGAAATGAGCAGAGCGAAGAAGAGAGGTCGAGAAACAGAGCCCATGGGCAAATGTAAAAAGGCATTGCCTTTAACTTGTGGCTCTTTTATCCCGTTTGCCTGCAAGGGTAACCACTAAAGAACATAAGTGTAAAGCATAACTGCAAAGCCACAAGAAAGAGTTTAAAAACCTGAAAGCTTTATCAATCCAGTGGAGGGCAGAAAAATGATGAAGCAGCAAAGGCAAGCATGGGAAATTTTAAAAATATGAAAGGATATGGTGAAAATAATTCAAATATAACAGTAAGCTCAACAAATGAAACAGATTAAATTGTTAAAAGAGCTGTTCGGATGAAATAAAGAGCCAAAGGCTAACAACATACTGTTTATAGCAAGCAATGAAGCGTTGACAATACAGACCAGCCCAGAGTAAACTGGTGAAGGAGACAGCAGGCAAATTCTAATTTTAAAAAAGCTGGTGCAGCCAGAGTAAAATCATACAAAACCGACTTCAAAGCAAAAGGCATTATCAGTGCTTTAGGAAGAAAACTCCTTGTTCAAAGAGACAAATCCCAGAAGATGTTAACAGCCTAAGCCTCTGCATACCTAACCTAACTTTAAAATATATATAAAAGGAAAACACATTCCAAAGGAAAATTGTTGATTCCACAATCTTAGTGTAAGATTTTTCCATACCTCTGAGAAACAATTAAAACAAATTAGCAAGAACACAGCAGGCGTGAACAACATAAACTTGAACTAAGGAACAAGTATGGAAACTATGTAGATAGAACACTTAGGGAAATTGAAATACCGATGTTTTCTAACTTCGGTGAAATAAATTAGAAATCAATAAGAAACACTAAAAAGAACCCATATTTTGTTATAGAAAAAAATCATAATGAAAAATACTTGAGAATAAATTACGACAAAAGTACTACATAGTAAAACTTATAGGGTGCAGCTAAATGATACTTTCAGAGAAATGTGTAGCCTTCGATAAGTATATTAGAAAACAAGAAAGACCTAGATATTCAACTCAAAAGAGATTAGAACAGGATAAACCAAAGTAAGAAATAGCAGAAATCAATGCCATGGAATCTATCCTAAAGCAGTTATCAGCCAAGAGAACAAAGGAGAAGGTTGATGCACAAGGAAAGCCATGACAGCATTACTTATAATAATAAAGCATTAGAAACACTGCCTAACAATAGTGGAGTGATTACACGGAATACAGAAAATGACATATAGTCAATAAAATCAACATGTTCCGTGTGGAAAACACCCACTATAATGGTAAGGGAGAAAAGGCATGACACTGAATTGTACTATAGTGCAACCCCGTTTTTATAAGAAAAACACAGCTTTGTGACATGTTAGGAAAGAAGGCCGGAAGGAAATAAAAATGATGGTGGTTTAATTTTCCTCTTTACTCCTTTGTGTTGTTCAAGTTCTACTTAAATATATGTATTACTTTCANCCCCGGGGCGCGGCTTCCAGACCCCGACCCCTGCCGACCTCGTGCAGAGCGCGGGCGGGACGCACCTGATGCTCCCAGGACAGGGGGTGGAGCGTGAGGTCCTGGAGCTAAACAGGTGCGAGAAGTCAAGCCGGAATGGCAGGTGAGGCCCCCAGGTGGCAGAGGTAACCCAGAGCTGCTAGGGGGAGGCACGGGCTTCAGGTGTGGGGGTGCAGCTCCAACACGTGACACGCAGCCTGGCCCTGTCATCACTGCCCCTGGGAACTTCCTCTGCGCCCGGCAGTCCCGCTATTAGAATGTAATAACCATGTTTTTAGAACTTTTTACAGACCAAGGCGCACAGTGTACTAAGGGCTTTACGCGTGTTATCCTCTCAGCCTCGTAACAAGCCTGCGCGGTAACTGTCCTTTTTGTCCTTGACACCCTCACCAGGAGCCCCACCGGGGGGCCCCTGAGCCCCTTACAGCTTTGTCTACTCAGCCAGGTGTCCAGGAGGGACCAGGGACAAGCACGGTGGAGGGGGCAGGGCGGCTGTCTACACGGGGACCCCGAGAGGGGGTCCTGGAGGGGCAGGATGGGAGGAGGCCTTTGGACTTGGCATCCAGGGGGTCTCCGGGGGCTTCCTTGGATGTCCGTCCTATGGCGTAGTGAGGCCAAGTCGCACGGGAAGGGC